GTTTCCCCCTTCACTCCCGATTTCCGACCAACATTCGCACGTACGAGAACGAGAATGGCCGAAAACTTTTTCCAAAACTTTTCTTCTTTGTCGGGCTGCTTGCCTCGATTTATTGCGAGTTTGGTGGATAGATTTATCGGAACGAACTCGTGAAACTCGGTGATACGCGCGAGTGAATCGTTCGAGTACGTTGTCATGGTCGTAATTAAACGCTGGGCGGATAATCTAGATCCGGACGAGGTTGTTTCCAAGTGACATGGGCTGATGTTATCTACCGACTCGTTCAACTCCTTCTCTTCCGATCTTCAGCTATTTTCGCTTCTATCGAGCGTTGAAATGGCTACCCTATCGTTCACAATTTCGAAATAATCTCGAATTGAACGAGAGAGAGGTCCAATTCGATCGTAATATCGTTGTCCGTGATCGACAGATCGGAACAATGGACGGATTAGGAAATCGTCTCGTTTCATCGATGTATCGTACGTTTCGAGAAAAACGCAAGCATACGCGTGGCATAAAGCGTGGTCGGCCTGACAGTGACCTCGTTGTCCACCGTTGACCGTTCAACTATCGAATAAAAGAAACGCGTAAACGAGTGTTATCGTCACTAGTACGGTATCGGCGCACTTGCAACCCCTTTCGACGACACGGAGCAGCGAAGCCATGCACTCTCGGATCTAGTTAGCGAGCGTCTCTCGAGGGCTTAGCCGTTCTGGAACGCGTTGCGCGACAACGCGACAATCTAATCCGCGGTATACGTACACGAATGAATTAGCCAACGATTACGCGCCGATCTATCGTTCGCGATGATCGACGATAATCGACGAAATTTCTTCGTTTCGCGTCAAAATTTACCAACGTATGCATACTCGTTACGTATTCATTTGTATCGAATAGAAGGAAAAAAAGAAAGAGCGAAAATATAGGAAACGATCCACGGATTCGATTGTTCGATCACCGATATCGAATACGCGTTCGAAATTTCTCTTTCTCGAAATTCGATTGCGACGGCGTCGATCGTTTCCTCGCGCGACGCGATATCACGAGCAAGCGGTATGCGCGTGTACACGCCAGCCTCGTTGCTCGCCCATTTTTTCCCCCCTCGTCGTCGTTCAGAGACCGGCCGATCCGTGTGCGCGCACGAGACACGCGCCGTCGCCACGCGGAATAAATTATACGCGTTTAAAACCTGTATCGTGGCGTAATTCCTGGCTAAAGCTAAAATTATCTCTTTCTCTCGTGTTCTCTCCCTTTCTCGCGGTGGACGTTGGCAAAAACAAACGTTTCTTGCGCGAGCAACCGGGTATATCGAGCTGCCGTCAAGTGCTCGCCGCTCGGCTGACGTCATCCCCGGCCAACATAGTACATTCGCGTCGATCGAACCAGCTTTATAATCGTTCGCGTTTGATTAATACTCCGGCCAAACCGCGAGTTCACGGACACCCACGTCGAATTCGGTTTAAAGCCAAATATCCTACGTCGCAACGTGTCAACGAGATTCACGAGATACCAGTGTTTTCCCCGTATATAAAATCAACCTTTTCGTCGCTTCGTTCCAATTTCTTTTTATCCTATCCATTTACTTACGACTCCATTTCGCTTTATTCCGAATCTCGTTCCTCGGCAATTTTTTTTTTTTCTTTTTTTCTTTCTTTCCAAGATAATCGTCCGAGATAATCGGTACCGCGATAAAGTATCGTTCGCTCGGTAGCGAAATGAGAAGAGGAAAAGGAAAAAACGATGGTAACGAGTGCAAATTGAAAGTTCAATTTTCGCGAAATTAGCCAAGATGTTAAATGGAGGGACGGCGTGGATTCAAACGACCGGACGCGCTTTCAGAGTTGCGAATCTGGTTTTTCCTCTCTCCCAACAGGACGTATTAGCAACCGTCAGCAATTACGCGAGTCCTCGTAACGCGGATCGGCGCGAATGCCTCCTCTCTCTCTCTCGTCTCGTCGAGAGTAAATCGGCGAGGAGTCAACGGCCGCGGCATACGTTCGTAAACTTGAGGCGAAAAGTGGCGGTCGCGGGCGACGATACCGGCACCACGCTTCAAAAGATAAACCTTACGAGCGTTCCTCGTTCCACACGCCGGGATTTGCAAATTTCCCGGACGTCGCTATCGTTTTCTGCAAAACGTGTCCCGCGAATCTGACTCATAATTAGAGGATTAACTCGGCTTTTTCCCCGCTTCTCGGCCGATGGAATGTCTTCCGCGTATGTATTTCGCACACGCACGCGCGTACCTTTCCTTTCCCTCCTCCCCTCATCCCGTGATAGTCTCGATATTCGTTTTTCACGGATTATCACGCGACATCTCCTTATTCGATCGACGATCGTAAGCTTTCTCGACTTCTTAGACTTCATCCAAACCCGCGCACAATGTTGAGATAATATGGAAAAAGGAAATTTGACATATTCACGTCAAGAAAAACAATTGTTAAGATTATACAGTTTCGATGCGTAACGAATAAATGATCTTTCGCGAGATTGGAATGGACGGATAAAAGAGGAAGAAGAAGAGGGGGAAGAAAAAATAGGCAGCTGTAAATAAGAGAAACGAAACAGCACGAGAGCAACTGTTCATGCAAATGGGCGCAGATACGAGAGAACACGAGGGGTCCTGGTCGGTGGTTCACGGTATCGGCGTATCATCGTTATTTGTACATGGTCGCGTTCGGCCGACACAATCGCGTTCGTACCGTTATTTAACATTATACGGAACGATCGTTGAAAGAGTGGAGAGCGGCGATACATCGGGCAGAATCACCTACACGTCCACGTCCCAAATGCATGTCAGAAGCGCGAGCGTCGCGTTATCGGTCATATCCATCTGGGTTGTAGGACACGGACGATTCCCGTGTCGATTCTCGTTACGTTCCGCTCGCCACGCGCTTCGAACGCGAGAAGGATCGTCCACGCTGTTGGGTCATGGCGTGGATCGATCTCACGGTCACCCCGCACTTCTCCTACCGCGGCACTCGTTCGCGACGTCCAACCGTGCGACACACGGTGGACGTAAATATGGCGGCGAAGAATGTACGAGCCTGGAAGAGAAGCGTGATTCCGGTATGGCGAACTCGGAACGGTACGTCGCCTCATGGGTCGGAGCAATTTTATATCTGTTTTCGCGAGCGAATCGTGCGACGAAACGATCGGATGGAAATTTAGAAATTTTTCCCCTTAATTGCTTTCACAGTACGAACGCACGAATTTTAGATTCATCGTCGTATTTCATTAACGAATCGAGTTGTTCTTCTCCGAGAAAAGTTTTTTAGATCGACGGGATTCGATTGCGACCGGTTACTTTATGACGTTCGTCAATTCGTACATCGCGGCCGTTGATGTTCAATGCCGTGGTATCATTGTCCGGATAACTGGTCAGCGGACATTCCAATTTATCGGATCGCAGAGGGGACGAACCTCCAACAGCTGGCCTCGATGGAATATACGGAATACGACGAATGCATCCATCTTAGTCGCTTAATCCCCTCGATTCGAGCGATATTCCTTGATATTTAATATCTTTTTCTCTAAAACATGCTCGCGTTAATACTTGATTATTCGCATTAATATCTATCTCGCACGAGATTTTAACGAATTGGTCAACATACTCGAAACGATCAGGGAAATTGATTTAATATACGTATGTAGCGGAGATCGAATCTAGCTGGTTGGTGACATTTCAAATTCACCTTGATTCCTCGTCTCTCTCTCTTCTCATCTTTTTCACTAAGAAAGAAAAGATCGCGTGGCTATCGGGGTGGCTCCTACCGATCGTTGTTGAGCGATTACGTAAGTGCCGCGAATACGAATGGAACAGCTTCCAAGGCCGGTCCCGGAGAAACACGATCGTTAAACCTTCCAAGGTGGTATTTTGTGTGCCAGCCTGTCCGGTTGGCCTCTGATCCTGCGGTGCTTCCAACGAAAGTTAATACTCCAACGCGCCTATCTTCGTGAGAATGCTCGATCGATGAATGCATTTAATTTTCATTCTCATATCAAATCCAGTTTCTCTTCTCTCCCCAACTATATTTTTCAATAGACGTAATAATTCCATTCCGAATTATCTTTGATAATTTCTCATCCTTTTTCAATCATCGAGAAATCGATATATCGATCATTCTTTACGCAATTTTTATTCCACGCGATTCTCTCCCTCTTTTCAAGTCAATTTTTCCATCGAATCTCGATCATTCAAGAGATCGTTAATTAAACTATCTATACGATTACTCGCCGATAACGATTCGATTTGTTCCTCGCATCGATTCCAATTTCACGAATAAACCGACGAGAAAAAACAGAATAGATGTGTTTTGAAATACCAATCTCAAAAAGGATCGGAATATTTCTTATATATTTCATATTATTATCGATTAAAGTATGTACGTGAAATTAAATCACTCAGAAAGTAACAAAAATATAAAAAAAAAAATTTATGGTTTCACAATTTTAAAAATTGAAACGAAAACGTTATCCATTATTTATATCTAAATTTTCTACGTATGAAAAATATATATACATTCGCAGTCAATTAATCAACATTATTTCTTATAAAATATATAATTGTATTTTTAATTATATATATATTGGACGTTTTTCAAATATCTATGTTAAATATATTCTAATTAAAATTATCGAACGATCGGAGAAACTTAAATATATGCAACTCACCATTAGATGCGAAGAATCTATATTGCCATTGATGTTGTCGTGATCCATCCAAGAAATGGAAAATATCTGTAACGAAAAAATACAACTTTTTACAATTTATAAATATATCGATAAAGAATGAAATTCTAATAAAATACGAAAATAATAAAAGTTGAAATCTTTGAATAAAAATTTAAGTAGAAAAAAAAATTACTCTTGACGTGATGTATTATCGTTCTATTAACAGAAACAATAAATAATCAAAATCAAATCCTATTTTAGAAGCTTATAAAACGAATTAATAACGAACAACTTTAATAATCAAATAGACGGATAAAAAAAAATTATTCTTAAGAAAGAATTATCAATTATAATAATATTCAATTAAATGATACGAATAAATGCGTATTGATAAAATGATAATACAAAAAATAAAAAAATAATGTTAAATAATGTAAAAACGTATTGTGTAATATGTAATTCACGCATAATACAAACGTTTAATCATCGCAAACTTCGAAAACGAAATGACACTCAACGTATCGAATTACAAAGTGGAGTGGGGGGAATAGTCAACGATACGGCAAGTCGAGCGTGGCACGAACCAACGCCAACCGTCAATTTCTCGAAAAAGCTATAAGGAATGTTTTCCAGTTCCTTGGACTTCGAGTGTAAAATCAAAACAAATGTAGAAATAATAACGCACAAGTTGAACGTACGAATGACGCATTTAGGAAAGAAATGTATGTATATGAAAATATATATGAAATACGATACATGTGAATAGATTGTATTAATCCAGCTACTTTTACATTAAGCGCGTAAAAAGAGATAAAGGAAATTTATAGTAATTACGTTTTTATTACAATAAATGAAATCTTACCATATCTGTGTCAAAGTTGTCGAATTATCTCTCAATTGCCATGGTGTGCGTAGAAACTACACTTTCGAAGCCATTCTGCTTACGATCAAATAATAATTTCTCACAAAGATGTTCATTCTAGTATAATAATGATTAAACAAACATGTATTAATAAAACAAGTTTTAATAATCTATAATGTAAGCTTAATAACCGTAATACAATATAAATTTCACGTAATTACGCACCTCAGCCGGTGAAACGTGACCTATCACCACGATTTTCAACTGTAGACTGATGACATGCGCACTATGATGCGCACTGATTCGTCTCGACGTTAGACTCTAGCTATTTTCTGATTGGCTAGAGCGGTATAATTCTTTATTTTATCCGCGCAAAAATTAAAATAAAATATATCACATTTTAACTGTAGATTTTTATATACCGATTTATTACAAAAATATTCTGATTAAAAATATTATAGAATAGATTATTACAATTAATTTAATATTAAAGAAATTATTCAAATTAAAAAGATTGAAATAATACTGAAAAATAATTGAAATAAAACATGAACATTTGAAACATTTAAAATAAAAAATTGATCAAATTTGAAAAAAAACCTTTTGCGTTAAAAGATTATTTATTATTCTTTTCACAAGTAAAAAAAGAAAAAAATAAAATCCGTTGCATTAATTGCTTTGAAAATAATAATAGGTTAAGGATGCAATAACTGGAAAAAGTTAAGACTTATTGTACTCAGAATTACCGTACCAATCAACTGTCTCATATCATTTACCTGTCTATGTGTCTAGTCTATGCGAGAATGATCAAATCGACAAATATAGATTTCTACTCTTTGTCATAAAATATTTTAATTTATGTGTTATTTAATTTTATATAATAAAATTAAGTTTTAATTCCAATCATTATTAATATAATTACAATTGTTCCTATATGTTGAATTAATAACGAAAATGAGCAAAATCGTTAAGAATTTCACAAAACACGCGCGTAATCTCGTTTCCTCGCGAAGAGAATCTCTCGATGCGTGGATTATATGGAAGAATAGGCGGATGTACGATATGCATATCTGATTATTGGGAAAAGGGAAAGTGGTGGCAAAATGGAGACGTCACGGTCGCGGTCGGAATAAAGATCGTAAATCCGTTCGAATTTATTTTTGAAAATAGTTTTAATGAAAAATTCATTACCGTAACTTTCTTCTCCTAGATAAAATTTTGAATCGAAATTAAAATAAAAAATATTTAAATTAATTTAAACTTCTTATATATAAATAAATTTACGCGATAATAATTATTATAAATATTCCGAATTTTCTACCATTACAATTTTAACGGATGAAATAACATTGTCATTTTTCAGTCAAATAAATCCGTTCGTTACGACTCGTTCATTGAAACTCGTTCACTTTCACGGAATATAGTTTTGATTAGATGACTTTAATTTCTGTAAAACTTATTACGTTCAACAATCATTTTTATACTTGTTATTTTACTTAACTCACACTGCTTCAATTTTCTTATGTAACGATTTATATTATATAATAAATACGATACGAAAACGAAGCGTGGAAATGATGATTACGTTCGAGCAGAGCGGGAACGTAGTTTAATAAGTGTAATGAAAAGGAAGTTAACACAGGAAACGTCGAATTGTCAGAACTGGTCTTATTCTCGGAACTTTGTAACTAGTTCTCTCCTCGTTGAGAAATGCAAAACCAAGATTGCGAACTTTCATCATAAATTTTACCACTTTCCTCGTTATTAATAACTTACTAGAAAAATTCACTTTAACTTATACATATAAAGAAAGCTTTAAAAATTATAATCGGGAAACACGTAACGATTGCATAAATGGATGGAAACGATATAGTTTTAAACGAAATTTTCGAATCAAATATAATATGTTAGAATCGCAATTGAAATTAAAAAGAGGCATATCTAAATATTAATTCATATTGTAAAAATATTGACAGCATGTCGTTAATCGTATTACATGTGACAGTAATTGTAAATGTTGTAAACTTTTCCAATATATTTCGATACAAAAACGATAATCTAAAGACACGGTTAAATCGTATAGACTCGATATGACAAACTAATCACCATCGTTCCAATATTTTTGTAAGCTTCTTTTATCTCAATTTTGAATATTTTATAAGTATGTACGAAAATTATCGGACTCGCTCCAAATTTTACATATATTATCCTCGTGTACGTGTTTTATAACAGTCATAAAATTATCTTCAAAACGCAAATCTAACACGCATATTTTTATAGTTTAAAGCATCGATATACTTTCGTATGCCACAAGTATATATTCATCGGACTCGATGATATCGTGGCACGCACTATAATTTATTCAAGCGCATAGAAATATCGCTTAGGTTTCTCCGCCATGTTGCAATCTTAGAAACACCTGCTTTCATCCCCATAATTATCGTCGATGCAACTTCTTTCCCCAACGCCTTTCGACTCGTAGCAATATTCACATACGACGCGTGCACAAGTTGTTCGATGCGTCATCATCTTGGAAGGGGGACCAACGACTAACGCGCGAAGACAAATGAAGTTTTCCATTCTGTAAATGGCGGCAAGCGGTTCGAAGAGGCGGTCATTAGATGACTTTGTTCAACGGCAAGGTTACGTCCAATGAAAATTACACCCTTGTTCCATCGATTCAACGATTTTACATGGTCATGGACGATGATCGTTGGATCCGACCGTTTAAAACAATTTCGAAACAGAGCACGAGCAAAATTTATTTATTGAGATACGACGAGACAACTTGTATCGAACTATTACACGATAAATTGCTTCGTCTCGCGAAGACAAAGGAAAAATGTGGCAGGTACGCATCCAAGAATTCGATCCAAGGTTTAATGCGTTTATCGATTGATTCGCCACCAAGATTTCATTACGGAGTTCATTCCACTGAAGCGAAAAAATAAATAAATAAATAAATCACTTCGATGATTATAATGATTAAAATTTAAATATACCTTTACGATTTATAAATTATATCGTTCCTTAAAAGGAAATCAATCCTTTCCCATATTTTTTTAATGGCAGGAACGCGCGCCAATATTTTACAAGCATGCCTGTTTTTCTTTTGCATCGAATCGAAGATACGTAAAATTGATCGTCGGACAAGAAATATTTTTATACGAAGAAAACGGATCGAAGAAAAGAATGGTAGACTGATCGAATTGTCAAAGAATGCCTCTCTCGATAAATCGAAATCAAAATATAATATAAATAATATATTAAGATATTTTTGCACTCTAATATATATTTCCAAATATAAATATATTGATTAAATTTCTCTCGTTCGATACTTTTTCCCGATTTTCACTCGAAAAAAATAACACTTGGAATGGAAGAATAAAACGTTTACAAAAACTCGAAAAGTGAAACGATAGCATCCTCTATATATCTCGTGATTCATTCGCGACGCATTAAAACACTTAAGAGCAACATTCTAAATTGGCGTGCACGCGTGCGAAACACTCGTACGTTGCGAGGGTTTGTGAGTCAGGTACGCAGCGAGCGCACGTATAGATACGTAAGTACACGTAGAAATGGTAAGCCGCATAGCAACCAGTTTCGTCAAACGTTCTCTCCCGAGTTTATCCCGATCTTTGATTCGCGGTTGAGACAATGACCTCGCGATCCAAATTGCGAAACGGCTTTCAAAGTAATCGGTGCAGCGCAAGGGGTTTCCTTTCATCTTGGACGACGTCGGTGTTTAAACGTGTAAGTAGAACGAATTTGTAAAATGCTTCTCGGAATAATTTACCTTTTCCAATCAAAGCGTTTCAAATAGCGTTCCAATTATCGCGCTTGTTAAACAATCGCATCGCGTCCTTCGCGAACAGCTAAATATATTCGTATATTCGCCAACTTTTCGACATCGTCGGTCGATCTTGCAATTCTTACGGCTCTCTATTCATTCGAGTTGATCGAATTCAGAATTTCTCAACGCCCGCGAAACTCGTTTCGAACTCGCTTCTCTGCGAATCGATGCGTCGCAAAATTTCCTCCGTGGGTGTTCGGAGGACCGTTGCGCGCAATTTACTTTCACGAGCGATTATTGCATAACGATCGTTCGCCAAGTGACCCTTGAACCTTCTCCTCGACCACAGGGACGCGTCGCCCCAACAACCGATCCCAGTCCAACCATCTCCTTTTAAAAATTCACGCGAGCCGAGAACAAGAGATCGATACGAGCGATGCGTGGGCGATTTCGGGCCACGATGGCCCATTTGTTTATGACCGAGCGCATTCGTATTCTCGATATCGATCATTAACGCATTTTCGGCCCACGGAGGTTCGTGCGCGTTCTCGAGCCGATGTTACGCCGAGAATTATGCGCCCGATTATTTACAGCTGCCAATTAGGCGAGGACGGACAATTGCCGCCAATTAAAATGTTTCGTCCGGAATGGTCGACCACGCGTCGACGTCGTCAAGGTGATTCGACATGGGGAAAAGAAGAGGAGCCAGATCGACTACGCGATCCTGCAAATAACAGTTTTCGTGAAACAAGTTGGAAGAAAGAGAATTTTATTCGCGTATCTTTGACGTAAATAAATAGATTCATCAACAGTGAATTTATATATCTTTTATACGTATGATGTAACCTATTTATAGTTGGAAACCGCTTATCAAAGTAATCAAAGTATATATCGAGGAAGATAAGGAAGGAAAAGAGAATTCGTTTATTTGCACTTTTTAAAGTGAATTTTAAAGTGATTAATCGTTTTCGATACATCGGGGATGAAACGAGTAATTGACAATTCCGAGATAACAGCTTACGAATCATACATATTCCGAGTCGTTTCGATTTCTCAAGAAAGAAATTCCCGTCGTCCAAAGGTCAATCGTATCTAACCCGATATATCGAATTAGATTTCTCGTTTTCGATTTCGAAACTCACGAGCAGTGACCGTGGAGAAACCGTAAATCTTCCCAAGGTATTTAGGAAGATTTTTTCCACGATTTTTTCGGATTCAGAGAGAAAAGAGCAAAGCGTTGGCAAGCGTCCAGCAGGCCTCCCGTGTCGTTCGCAGTCGTTGGCGTTGGCGAAACGAGGGAAACGCGTCCGCGGTGCGAGGAAAGGTGGAAAGGTGAGAGATCGTTAGTGGCGAGCAGCGATCGATGGGAAAACAGACGTATAATTTCGAACGGTACGTAAACGGTATGTAAACAAGCGTCGGGTTTGGCGAAGCACGATTTATCTCGATGGCGGTGCGTGCTCAAGGTTTATCATTCGTAAGAACGCGGATCGAAAGGGTAAAGTATCGGTTGCGAATATTGATTTTTAAGAAGTAGCGAGGTCCAATTAGGAAGATCGC